CAGACAAGGATAGAGACAGAGACAGAGACAGAGACAGAGACAGAGACAGAGACAGAGACAGAGACAGAGACAGAGACAGAGACAGAGATAGAGACAGAGAGACAAGGACAGAGACAGACGGACAGACAGACAGCAGTGGCATGGGGCTATAGCTGCATTGGTATGGCATGGGGCTAAGCCTGGAACCCCAATAAGCTGCCTAGTGGCTGCATGTCTTCCCCTCTGGAATAGGAATACAGTGAAAGAACGAGTCAATCAAAGGGAGGATTGCGCGAGTGTGTCCGTGTGTGTGTGTGTGTCTGTGTGTGTGTGTGTCTGTGTGTTTGTGTTATACTGCTGTACATGCGACAAACCACGAACTCTCATTTCCTTGCGTATGTGCCGTTCTGCGGTTTGTGTTCTTTTGACTTACATGTTGCAGGGGGGCAGGACATCCTTAGCAGTGCCTGCCCAACGAAGAGGCTGCTAAGAGATGCTGATGCGGCAGAAGACGCTCTGTTGAAGTGTGCCTGCAGCGGACTGGACCTATCCGCAAACAAGGTCGGGACCTTTCTTTCTTCTCACAAAACAAGTTTTCATGAGTCGTCATGTCATGGACTGCATGCATGGTTGTGTTCTCATGAGGGCATTTGCACTGGACAATCATGCACCATAATTAGTGACAATACGTCACCTTCCACATCAAGCTTGGGTCTCGCTGTACCGGCCCGACATGTATCTTCAAGCTTGTGTACGGCAAGAGCTCCCTCATTGAGGGCCTTGTCGCTTTTCGGCGAAATGTGCCGGCCCACCGGGGTGCTTGTGTTAGCAGGTTTGGAAATCCTTTAGGATTGACAACCTGTTCAAGTGGAGATCACAATGGAAATCAACAGCCATGTCTGAAAATCAATTTTGGAGATCACTCTGGAGGAAACACCTCGCGTCGGGCCTCAGGTTTTTCAGCTTCACTGCATTAGCCTGCTGACGAAAGTAGACGTGTCATCATGGACAGAGAACGCAGCCCGCAGTTGGATCCCATGCAGACGCAGCTTTTAGAGTTGGAGTAGATATTCATGGATGTGATGTCTCTCGTTAGCCAGTTGCAATAATCTCAAGACACGCTGAAATTTTGCCGATTGTTTGAGGGCGACGATCTGTGGCATGAAGCTTCCGGTTGATCATCATTATCAACAAGTCCTCTTCTCGCTCATAGTTTTCTTGCGTCCATCAGTAGCTGTCTCAAGCTCCCATTCACCTCATCCGCAACATCTTCTTCTTCGCTGCCATCTAATCATTTGACGACGACGACGACCACAGTTGGAGGTGGATACTATTCAGACTCAGCCATTTGGACAGTATCGGATGGAAGGCAGATCGTGGATTCAGGACTACAGATATTGGTATTTTGGTCACCGTCGGTGATCAACGCGGTCGTTGATTCTCTTCAAGCATCATTCGAGGCCAACACCCAGGTGGATCTGTGACATGACGCTTCCGGTTAAGCATCATTTTCATCAAGTCTTTTTCTCGTTCATTGTTTTCTTGTGTCCATCACTAGTTGTTTCACGTTCTCCTTTCACTTCATCGGGCCCGTCTCCGCAATTTCTTCTGCTTCGCTGCCATCCCATCGTTTGACGACGACGACGACAACGACGACCACAGTCGCAGTTGGATGCCACGTGTCTGTTGGCCCCAGTGCAGGGCCTGTTTGTGTTATTCTGCTGTACATGCGACAAACCACCCACTCTGCATTTCCTTGCGTATGTGCCGTTCTGCGGTTTTGTTCTTTTGACTTACATGTTGCAGGCAACGAAGAGGCTGCTAAGAGATGCTGATGCGGCAGAGGACGCTCTGTTGAAGTGTACCTGCAGCGGACTGGACCTATCCGCAAACAAAGTCGGGACCTTTCTTTCTTCTCACAAAACAAGTGTTCATGAGTCGTCATGTGATGGACTGCATGCATGGTTGTGTTTTCATGAGGGCATTTGCACTGGACAATCATGCACCATAATTAGTGACAATACGTCACCCTCCACATCAAGCTTGGGTCTCGCTGCACCGGCCCGACATGTATCTTCAAAATTGTGCATGTATGCATATTATACACATGCACATCCCTACACACTCGCATCCACATCGGCATTCCCATCCACATGCTCATGTGCACGTCACATTCATTAGCGCACTTGAGGCCCTTGTACACTTACATCGACATAGACATGAACGCAGCCGTAGCCTTAACATAGGCATAGACTTGCATGCATACACACATACACATCAGACACAGGTACGTATCTGTCGGTGTGAAATTGTATACACACTACATACGGACTTATATCACTGTTCATAGATATATACATATATATACTTCACACACATATATATATATGTATATGCACACACACTTACGTACATAGGCAGATACATATACGCACACGTAAATGCGCTCACATACCTCATGACCTGTGATTGATGAACTCTGAGGCCAAGCTCGGGACCCTGGTGGCCAGGCCCTTGCGCATCCGCAGCAGAAGGGGCCAGCGAGATGCTTTAAACATGGGTAGAAACCCACACGCCCGTCGCATGGCTGAGCCTGAACTTTCGGTGTGAAAGCGGTGGGCTCACGTTGTTGGAGTATTCGGCACTCGATGGCTTCTCCGTAGTTCGCTGCGGATCACGGCTCACCCATGGTCCTGCAAAGATCAGGTCAATCACGCGCACATGCATATACACAGACACACACACACACACACATATATATATGTCTATCTATCTATCCATCTGTCGATCTATGTAGCTATCTACCTGTCTACTTATCTATCTACTTATCTATCCATCTATCAATCTATGTATCCATCTTTCGAGCTATATAACTATCGATCTATCTATTTATCTCTCTATGTGTCTGTGTATCTATATGTAAACATAGTACTCTTTGTACATGGCCGCGTGTATTGAGTAGCAATTCTCGTCGCGGTATAATACAACACATGGCAGTGACTGAGACGTCGGTGCTTGGTGTTCATTCAAGCCATAGCTGAATTGCAATCCGCCTGATGTTGCATGCAACCAGTACTTTAACCATTATTCGATGTACTGCTCCCCTGCAATTACACGCGGCTTCGGCAGGTGGTGTGCTGCCACAACCACAGCCGAATACTCGTGAATTGTTGACATGGTTGACTTAGGACAAAACCCTGAGAGACATCTGAGGCCGAGGCCGTCGGTGCCAAAGACGCAACCGACCTTGGCGCGATGCCCAAAACAAACGACCGAGCCGTTGTGATCCTGCTCTCCTTGCTTCGAAGGCAGCCAACCTCCAAGTAGCGGACCCAGATGCGGTCGTTTTAAGACAACGCTTGGCGGATCGAACTTGTCATGATGTATCCCGACCTTCGGACTGCGCTGAGGCACGAGACAGTGACAGCGACGATGAGCTCATCGGTGCGGATCCAGACGAGGCACAAGGGCCCAGCCCGGCAGTGCCCAGCGTCAGCCTGCCAGTTTGGAGCGCCGGAGGTCGCCCTGGCTCGCGGGGACTTGGAGGAATCTGTCGACTGGTTCGACTGCGAGCGCCTCTGGTGAAGGCTGGGATCTTGGGATGTGTCGTGCAAACCTCAAGGTGTCTCAGGGCATCGACCCTGTTCTGCTTCTCTGCTCACTCGGGTTTGCTCGCCGTGCCCGGGGCTGTTTCCGTTAAGAAGCTGCTTCCTGGAGATGCGCTTCTGAATTGCGTGCCCGACAGTAAGCTCTGGGTGTCTGCGCGGAAAAAGCTAACGAATGTGCTAGATTTTGCCAGATCTGACCACATGGGCCAGGCGGCCGGAGATGGGTTGCTGGAAGTAAAAAGATGTGCCAGCACATGCCAACTCGCCGCCAAGATGCTCGGGCCAGTAGCCGCATGACAAGGGATGAGAGTTCAGTCCAATTCCACGCCATCTTCACCATCTCGTACCCTACACCCTCAGCTCTGAGAAGAGCTAGCAGGTTAGAGAAAGCACGAGAGCACTTTCGCTGCAAGCTATCTGGCAGCTCTTCGAATGTACGGCTCCCGAGCCCTGCGGGCTCTGCGGTGTGGTGGCCATGGAAGCGCAGCACCCCGAGGCTGGGGAGAAACGGCACGACAGCTCTAGGATTGTTTGGGCGCATACAGTATACGGTTCATGATCAGTGTGCGAGTGTTAAGGGCTTGACGATGGTCGAAGACACTCGAGAAAGGTGGATCCACCGCCACCGCCTCCAGTTGAGCGGAGGGCACCAAAAGCACGAGGGTCGAACCGGGACGAGAGGGAGGCGGGGACACCTTGAGTGTTGTGTCGGGAGCTTTCGGAGAGCGTCTCAGGAGAAGGTTCGGATCGTGTATCCTCGGGAATGCCCTCACTGTCCCAAATCGTTTCCCTCGAGTACAAGGTCTGGACCTCCACTGCCTGTAGAGCCTACAGTAGTATGTCTTAAGAAGATGAAGAAAGCGAGGTATCACAAGCATGTGAGCTTTCACACTGCAGCCAAGCCTCGGCCTCAACCGGCAGCTTGCGGCAGCTTGCGGCAGCTTGCGGCGTCTCTTGCGGCGTTTTGGACACGTTCCGGCTTCGGGTTCTTTCGCAAATGTCAGGAGCTTCAAGTGTGATCATCCCGGCTGCAACAAGGCCTACAAGAGGCAGCTGCAGATTCCTGTACTTGGTGACGTTAGCTGGTAAAGTTTAGAGCATCCTTTGGAGATGTCTGGAGTGACTTCACCCGGAGGAAAGTAGACCTGGAAGACCACAAGGCTGTTCACCTCGAAGTGAAGCCAGGGACTACCGCGAAGCACATGCAAGAACAGAGGAAGGGAACCTACATCATTGGCCTGAGGCCCTTTCGATGTACGGTGGAGTCCTGCGACAGGCAGGAGTCTGATGTGACAGGCATCGCCTGGGGCAGCTAGTTTGACGCAGGAGCTTTACCACGAAGCAGTCGCTGATGTCGCACATCGGGCGTGATGGCCTCGAAGAACTCCGCAGCTTCTCTCTCGATGCCCTGCGCTGGTGCGCACGGCATCGGCTGCTCCCTGGCCGATCTGAGGTGTGCACAACGGCCTGAGCTGCACTGCCTGCGGGCTCCGCTTCCGCAAGAAGGATTGGGATTGGGGCCCGCAGAGCATAGCGCCTTTGGAGCTCAGAGCACACCGGCCAGGCGAAGCTGCAGCAGCATTGGGCCATTGTGCATGGGGCCCATGGAGCCCATGAGGCCAAGACCTCAGCATCTTCGCGAGGCCCGAGGCCTGCACGTATGTGCCTGCACAGGCCGACGGCTCCGAAGTGGAGCCGGTCCGGACCCAAAATCTCGCTGAGCCACGCGATCTCACGCCTTTTCCTCTCAGGGAAAGTGCCCGGATTGTGGTAAGACCTTCCAGCACCGCGAGTCCTTGGAGAAGTGCGCCCGGCAGATTCTCAAGTCCGTGTGAGGGCTCTGCTCTCTTTGTTGTCTCTGTTTTGTTCCGCGACCGCCGGCCTTTTGGCTCAGACGCGGTTGGTGCGCGCCTTCAGGGGGGTGCCCTGAAGGGGCCGGTCCCTGAAGGATGCACAGCAGCCGGTCGGAGCCGGGTCTAAGCCCATGGCATCACGAGATGAAGGACCACGTGAAGGGCCGGGTCAAGGACGGCGACAGCGATTTTCACAAGAGGAGCGCGAGGGATTTTTCCGGAACCTGCCAGGAGCTAGTCCTGGGCCGTACCGGGGCCTCTTGGGAAGACAGGTTGCAGGAGCAGAAAGCCAAAAAGGTCCAGGCCATGAAGATCATTGAGTGCCCCGGCTGCAACAGCGTCGGCTTTCAGGGGTACTCCTGGGATGCCCCGGAGTCGACGCCGCTCGAATTTCATTGTCTTCCATTTTGTGTCCTTTTCTTTGCTTGGCTTTGGGCATCTCCTCTCATTCGATCAATTGACTTCCAGGCCCGTCGCTGCCCACCAGGGTGATGTCTGTAATCTGAGCTGTTCATGATCTCTTTATAGGACAACGGCACCCAACGATCGGTTGGAGGAAGTGAGCTGATTGTCATGACTGCAGATCTGCCAGCGACAAAGTCGGTGTGGAAACACCGGCCCGATAAAACATGCTGCCCAAACGGAAGGAGTAGTGGGTTGTCTGATTTTACATTCAGACGGTGTAAGAGATGTGGCTTGCGAAGCAGTCTTCCGAGGAAGGAGCAGCGGGAAACGATCAAAGCGGCCACCGAGCCTTAGCTTTTCTCAGCGGGAAGCTTGAAAGACATATGCCGCAGTCTTGCAATCTGAGGACAAGGGCATCGAGAAGCAACAGGCAACGAAGACTCTAAGTCTCTAAGATTCTCTCAGTCTACCACGGTCTCAAAGCTCTAAGCCTCTAAGCCGCCAGCAGGTCTATTCCCCGCTGCTGGCCCTCCGCTCGGCGCCTTTGCTCTCGACCTCTGAGAAGCAGGAGGGACCGGAGGGAGCAGGGGCTCCTTGTGCAGAGAGGGCCGTAGGGCGCCGTAGGGGCTCTTTGTGTGTTTCCCGAGGCGCAGCGCTTGGACGAGCGAAGGAGGGACATGGAGAACAAGATGCGACTCTTGGACCTGTCTGGGGTGGTGCTGTGGTCGGGCGGATGCACAACAGACGAGCGTGTACGTGTGCGCCTGTACGTCTTAAGCCGAACACAGTTTTTATGTGTGTCCCGCACGTCCCAAACAACCAGGAAGCTACCACATCCAAAAGAGCAAGATTCTGGTCCTGCGCTCATCTTTTTCTGTCACGTTGTCACGTTGCCTTTAGTTTAGTTGCTGGAAGGGTGGCAGTCGTCCGCATGGACAGGGAACTCGCGCGAAGTATAGAAGGATAAACGATTGTAACGATGTGTTGCTGTCCCTGTCAAGAGGCATGTCCGAAATCAAGATGTCGCAAGACAGACGCCAAGCTTTTCAGCTTGGAGCCTGGGGGGCCCCTGGCTGTCAGGAGAAGATGCGCACCAGGGACCCACTTTTCAAGGTGGAGGATGTCTCCGCGGCGAAGGCGCGCCCGGGGCCAATTCGGGACGACATGGCGGTCCTTTGTTCCTGCTTCCGTGGTAATGCTTGCACTAGTTACCACTTCGCAACCTCACCACTTCAAGTTTGGTAGATGCCTCTTTTTAGGCTCTTCCTTTTTCGGCCCAGGTCCTGTAGTTTGCTTAGCTTTTCGCTCTGAGGCTGCGCTGGCCGAAGCCAGGCGGAAGAAGCAGGCGGAGCTGCAAGCGGAAGAGAAGAAGCTGCTCTTCTGCACAGAAATCCCCGGAGAGATGTGTACGAATGTACGAAACTGTTCCTTGCTGGTTGGAGCTCGTCCGAGGGTCCTGGGTACTGGTCGCACAGCATACAGTCTGAGTTGAGGAGCACGAGTTCGCTGCTTTGTCCGAGGCGATGGGAGCACCTGGAAGAGTGTGCTGCCAAAGGATGCCACAAAAGGCGGGCTTCACATGGCTTCAGACGGCTGGTATGAGTGTCGCGTGTCGCGGTCCTGCGGTGAGCGTGATGAACAGCTGTTCTCATCGTCAGGCAGACTCTGCAGCTTGGCGAAGTCAATGTTCTCCGATGGTTCTTGCTCGATGATGTCTTGAAACTGGCAGTAAGCGGGAACAGCTTAGTCCAGGCATAATTCCTGATCGTCCCTACAGTTCGGGTGATGAGAGTTGCTACTCGTTGCCTCTCTAAGGTACGACTTGCACAACAGCCCCTCCTTCGACGAGCGTCTTGCGAAAGCGGTCGAGCAAAAGACCAAGGAGGGCCAGGGCCAGGGCTCAAGGGCTCACAGCCAGCATCTTGCAATCAGCCCCCCCCGCGCCGCAACCCGCGGACGGGACGGCTGCTCCAGGAACTCAAAGACTTGGAAAAGGCGCAGAAGGACCGAATCAGGTGCATGGGATGTGAACCGCCCGATCTGACCCGGTACTCGTAGTGGTTCTCCTTCAGAATCGCTGTAGTTCTCAAGATGTCAGCTTGTGCCAGCTTGGCGACAGGGAGGCCGTCGAGGCTGGCCACAACAAGTCTGCCGCGGTGTCCCCACTGTCGGCCTGTCTGCGGAATCCACCGGACAACATGGAGACCCCTGGCAAGAACCGTGAGGGCTGTACTAGTAATACCAGTACTTGTATGGAAAAGTCCATGACCGAACACTTTGAGCATCTCCTTCGGGGCATGCTATGGCGTGTGGCTGAGGAGGCAGCGTGAAATTCTTGAGGAGCGCAACCGTACAATGGCAACTGCAGCCAGGCCACTCGGGGAGCACCAGAAAGCTCAATGCGTCACGAGTACACTTTGTGCTTGACTGTGTGCATTGCGGCTACGGTTGCGATGCCTTTGGTCTCGATGTTGCAAGGATGCCACGATCATCAACCAACACTCTGTTTCATGTTCTGCTGTTGCTAAAGCGGTGCTGCCTTGGGGAATGTGCAGGGAGTACCTCCGCAAGCGAGACGAGTCACTCGGCCACAGGCGTGGAGGCAGAGCCCGATATCAGCCGTCTCCATCGCACTCCAGCAACCCCCCCCCCTTGTTGATCACCGAGAGAAGGTGGGAGAGGAGAGGAGGAGGCGGAATGAAGTAGGACCACGAGGAATGGAGTGAGCTTAGGATGGTGGAGCGGCAGCGGAAGCGGGAGCCGCTCTTCTCCGGTGCTGCCGTGGCAGATGCCACGTCGCAGCTCGAGGCACGTCCCAGAGCCACGTCCCAGACGCTCAGAGAGAGCTCCTTCGCTTCGCTTCCTGCCTGCAGGAGAAGGCCAGGAAGCTGAAGCAGGAGATGGCCGCCGAGCAGCTCAAGAACAGGCCGGGCGGCCTATGGGCCCCGCGGATTTTCCTTCCCGAAAGGGCCGCTTTAAACGCGAAGTGAAGAAGCGCAGCGACTCAGCGACTCAGCGACTCTGCGAGGCAGCACATCGTCGAGTTGCAAAACAAGGTCCTGGCCAGACCAATGCCTTTCCGACGCAGAAAAAGGGCTGTCCTTTTACGCTGTAAATGCTCTTCCACTCTTCGGTCCTCTCATGCCTTTTAGGATGATGGAGATCAAGTACGGAATTGCTGCCTGACATCGGCGCATTTGATGCTGAGAATGGCTGCATCCTTCCCCAGATGTGACTGTGGGCAGCAAGAGCAGTGCTAGGGCTGTCAGGGATAGTGCAATCAGAGTGCTCGTAGTGCTCTCCTGGCAAAGCCAGCGGCCGGAAGATGCCCCGAAGGGGCCTCGAAGGGCAAACAAGGATCGCGCGTTGTGGCGAAAAGAGGTTCCCACGCAGCACAGCACAGCGCAGCACAGCGCAGCACAGCTCGTTGGCGCCTCCGAAAGGATTGCACTGGTCAGGCACATCCTGGCCCAGCATCCTCGGCAAGGCCTTGCGCCCAAACGCAAGTCCTACAAGTGCACCGGCTGCGAGGACGTCCGATCCAGTTTCTCACAGAGAGCTTGTTCGGTTGAGCTGCTTGCATGCGGAGATGTCGGAACAAAGAGGAAGGACATGTAATCGCAAGGACACAGAGTGTCTCGCAGCGACTCTAAACCATGCGATACAAAGATTATAGATTCGAAGCTACTTCCGAACTGACGGCAGATCTGCCACCGCCAACGCCGCCACGACCGCCACCACCACCACGACCATGACCATGACCACGACCACGACCATAACGATGACGACTGCTACCTCTGCCGCCGCCGCCAGCGCCGGTTTTCAACTGTGTGTCACAGCTCACGGAAGTAGGGATCTTCGACGGGCCGAGTGAGTCAAGTAAGAGTCCCTGACGGGCTCCACCAGGCGCCCAGAGAGTGCTAAGAAGCGAAGATGAAGGGACTCATCCTTTGGATTCTCAGTAACTGCAGAGCGCGGTTTCGAAGAAGGAGACTTTCGGCAGCTTTTTGGACATGGCCCGAGCCCGGGATTCTGAGCTGACGCTTTGAGTTTTCTTATGGGATTGGTGGGGTTTCGCCTTTTCAGGAGAACTCAGATACTAATGGTAGAAGGCTTGAGGATGGTGAAATAGCTGGTTGCTTGAAAATGTGCGGTTTGCTTCTTGGTTCTTGGTGGCTGAGGTATGGCTCGGGCATGCTCTCCCTTGGGATTTGATTAAGAGCTCCAGTGCAACATCAATCTGATAGCATTCCATCGTCTGCTCAGCATGAGTGGACGGGACAATGGTCAGCGTTGTTCGCTGGGACTAGTGACTAGAGTTGTCGAGATTTTTAGAGGCTGTCCGACGGTGCTTTGCTTGTCCAATCTAAGTGCTGAGTCACGGATGACGTGTTTGGTCGGAGGGTGTTGAAGGAGTTGAGCTGAGCTGGTACCCGACATGGAAGTGCTGGGCACGTGACTGGGACGATTGTCAGAGTTGTTCGGACTAGAGTTTCTGAGGCTGTCCGATGACGCTTCTTTTCACCAAACTCAGTGCTGAGTCATGGATGACGCGTGTGACCGTGCATCCGTTGACTATATAGTCTTTGAGCAGCTCTTATTCTTATTTTGTGGTTTGCGGGATTTGTGCGAATCAGTGAACCTCGTGGATCGTGGATTTGGTAGGGCGGCAGCACCTCCGATCTTACAGGTCCGTCACCGACGAGAGAAGCATCCCAAGACATACCCTTGCTTCCCGGCTGCGATACTTTTGAACCTAGTGCTCGCTTGCTTGAGTCCTTCTGGCAGGCGATGAGTGCGACTTCGTCGCCAAGAAGCGGGACCAGCTGAACCATCACAAGGCCATGGTCCACAGACAGGCCGAAAACTCAGACGAGCCCTGGCAGATTCACAATCGGTGCCGCCTTTTGAATCGCTTGGCTTGCAACCTCGGCTCTCAAGACATCGCAATGAAGACCATATATGGTCATATGGTGGCCAGGAGCTGCACGGCATGCAGGATCTGTTTGGATCTTTCGAAGCTTTACCTCCAGCAGTAGAAGTGAATCTCTCAACAGCTAAAACCTAAACAAGCCTGGCCAGTGGGAAGGAGCAGACAGGGCAGAGATCGGGGCGGTTAGCGGCGGGGAAGCTCCTGAAAAAAGACCGGGGCAGCGAGCCAAGCGCAGTGAAGCCATGGTGCTGCAGAGTCGGCCGCCTTGGAGGCGTGTTCGTTCGATCTTTATATATATATATATATTGACTATAGTATTTGTAGCTTGAACAAGAAAACCCCTGAGACCTCTATAATCCCCGAGGCCCAACAGCAATCACAGAAGTTTCACGCTTGGACTCATAAAAGCTTCTCTCATGAAGCCGTTAAAGATCAAGCTCTGCAGCTCTCGGGGAGTCCAGTACCTTCAGAGGACGGTTCCTCTCGCATTCCGCGTGCCTGCGGCTTGCAGCACGACCTTGCGTGATAAACGAACTTCAAGCAGATTCGCCGCGTGCAGCACTGCACACTCGCAGATGATGGTTGCATTAAGCTGACTTCAGTGTGGAGGTGAGGATGGAGCGCGGCTCAAAGACCAGTCGCTCGGATCCGAAAAGGAGCAAGGCAGAAGCGGAGGGGCATAGACTTCTCCCTTCCCCCTTCCTTCCCTCTTGTGTCTTCGCCTTATGGACTCGACAAGGCCAGAAGAGTCGGGACACCGGCTCCACCAGCGATGCCTCGGCGACTGGGCGTTTCTTAAGGGATTGAAAGCTGCACGCCTTGTCTTCTCGCCTTTGCCAAGACTCCGCCGTTTCAGATTCAGCCCCGTCGAGGAAGACTCTCTGGACACCTTCGAACGCGCGCAGCGGCAGGGCATTCTCTCCCGTGAGGAGCTGCGGGGAGAGTCGGGACAGAGAAGTTGAAAGAAGCATTGTGCTGGAGGAGATCGCCAATGCTCAAGTAATCGATCCCGAGCTCTTCACCAAGGGCAGCTTCTTTTGTGCCGCGGCAGAAACAAAGGGCCAAGGGCCGTGCGCCGGGTGTACAGTGCGAACAGCGCGTTGCCAGTGGCAGGCTCACTCTCTGCGCTTTTGGCCATCGTAGGCCTCATAGTACGGACCTCAACAGAGCTCACGACGGGAAGAACTGACTTGGGGGAACTGCTGCCTCTTATCAGGAAATGGGTCTGGAGACGGACTACCGCTGCAACACCGGACGATGTCAGCTGCCCAGCCGTTGTGGAGCTTCGTGCTTGGAGCTCTCGCGGCTCGTTAGGCGTTGGTGACGAACCTGTTTGGGACTTGCTGCGCCTCTCCTTGCACTCGAGCGGACCTGTAGGGGCTCCCCAGAAGTCGCCGAAGACCATGGTAAACCCCAAAAAGTTGGAAACCGGATTGAGGACAGTTAGTGCTGGGATTGCTTATACATTACTCTTGGGGATTGAGGCTATTGGGTTTGCATGACTAGTCCGATTTGGGAGTGCAAGAAGACAAGACATACCTGCCTAGCCAATCTACCCAGCACTTTCACGGCATGTCTGAATCTCCTTCTGTATCCTTGTCGTTTTTCTCGGTTGCCTCAGTAACTGCGGCCAGAAGATACACTTCAATGGATGCGATTACGGGCGGACCCTTAAGAGGCACATGATCCACGCCAGGGCAATCACAATAAGTGCAGGAGGCATGGTGCACCGAGGAACATGCGCTAGACCTCTCTACCCTTCAAGTCTTCATAGCTTCCTGCATGTTCGTTCGTTGTTCTGACTGGGAGGTTCGCTGGAACACATATCTGCCGTAGCATCATTCTTGATGTTTGGAATAGGTTGGGAATTAAGTTTGGGTTTGAGCATTGCTACCACCGGCTCACACCCCTCTAGAGCTTCCTTTGTCCCAATCGAAACTTGAACATGTGAGACCCAGCTTCCTGAGCCTAGGAATCTGATCTTCACCATCCTGCCCTTGGCCGAGAACGGCCTGCGCCTCTGGGAGGCCAAGCCGCGAAGGCACTTCCTTGCAAGCTGTCACGGGGAAGCCTTCTTCTTCCTCTGTTTCTGTTTCTTCTTGCTGTGATTTCTTCTTCCTTTGCCTGCTACCAGACATCTCTTCGCGATGAACGCCATATCAGAAGTCGGTGCCTTTCCTCAGCCCCCGGCAGAGCCTGCCCACAACAGGTTCATCATGGGCGATAAGACAAAGGCCACGCAGCACGCTTTGGGAGGGAGGGGGAGGTAGGTTCATGTTATGTGGTTCTATCCTCTAATGTGCTGCAAGTCCTTGGGCAACGATGCACTGCTAGTACTTGTGGTTGGCCAGGTCAAGTTCAAGCTGGACTGGGCGAACTGCACTGATGCGCTGCTGGTGCTGCTCAGGCCGTGACTACGGCGGCCTTTCCGTTCCGTTCCGTTCCGTTCTAGTGCCAATGCTGCAGGATCCTGGATGTTTGGGTGCTGAGTCCTCTGGGGATTGACTCAGGCCAGCACCTCGCGTTCACTCCTAGGGCCGGTGTAGCTGGCATGGATGGAGGCCTGCGCATGGCGACCGGATTCAGGATCCTTCGCATCGGCCCAGCTGTCAAGCCCGGTGTCCCAGACAACTCAGAGACAACTCCATGTCTCCTTACCGAAAAATGCTGCATGCAAGGCATTGGCAGGCGACCAAGGAGCTGCGAGAGCTGTGGATCGTGATTGGTGCCGTTTCTGAGACGACGCTTGCTTCAACCTGGCCAATTCTTTCGAGTCTGCGCAATAATGGCGCGTGTGCCATGCGACTTTGACGAGGTTCAAGACGCTCATCTGGGTTGGAGTCATGCTGATTTTCGTCGCCTGGCAGGTTTAACTCGCAGCCTAGGGGGCCAGCTGTTACACTGTTGCAGCCGCCAAAGAAAGCTCTGCACGGATTCGCCGAGGTCATCTGGACCTTTGGCATCTTGATCACCATGTCTCTTATAGACCGACGGGGCGAGGACGCAGTCTCGAAACATGGACTAGAGCCGTCGATGCGTGGCAAGTGAAGACCAGCTCCGAAGGAGTTTAACTTCACGGCCTCCGCATGGACCTTTGCCGACTACTGGGGCAGTGTGCCACGGAGCGCTTACTCGCTCTTCCAGGCACTTGTGAGATCCTGCTAACTCCGATCGGTACTGTGCCTGTCCTCCCCGGCAGGTTGCCACCAGAGACAGTTGGATTAGTGCGATGGTGGCGCCATTGATAGAGACTGAGCCACTGTCCTTTGGCTTGAGAGGCCCTTAGCTCCCCAAAGCAATAGGCCCCTACACCCTCTTGTCCCTCTCCACTGGTGTCTTCCTGAGGCTTCTGATCATCTTCGGCTTCTACTTCTGCATCGGATCCCTGGCGCTAATGAACGCCATCATCGGTGTCGTCGTCGAGTGCCTCGGCAGCCTGCGTGGCCAGAAGAAGGAGGCAGACGGCAGCAGCGTTCTCTGAGGTGCACGCTGTCTGCAGCGAGGGCCAGCACCGAGAAAGAAGACGAGGACAAGAAGAGGCGTGTGGATGAGGGACGGAGGCTGTGCCATTTGAAAGCTCAAAGTGTTGTGTGCATGTTCGCCAGGGCAGACACCCTGGTCATGGATTCGCTGCGACGGATATTCCACGAGGGTGACACCGATGGCTCCGGTGAGCTGGACATAGAGGAGTGCAATCGATGTGCCTGGTAGAGTGCCGTCTTGCAGTGTCTTCCTCCAAGTCTTCGAAGTCAGGAGTTGCATGCTTTGGTTCACAAGCCGAAGGCATGGATCGCATCTCTGGCTTCTGCAGGGTAGGGCCAAGCTTGGAGGTACGAGATCGGCTCAAGATGCTGAGAATGCCTTTCAGCGTCCGCGGCCTAGTGAGCGTGGCGTTAGTGTTGACGGCTGACGGCGAGCGAGATTTTGAACCCGACCATGGCCCTGTGGAGGATCTTGACCTCCTCTTCACCTTGCTGGACACGGAAAGCAAGGGGACGGCCAGGAACCGACTGAAGCCTTGTCAGTTCGGCCTCTGGGAAAGTTGCCTGGAAGATCCTAAGGTGAACACGGACATGTTCTTCCGTGGCTGTGCCAAGCTGAGGACGGATAGCGGTCCCGGCACAAGGCACTGTGACTTTGACGAGTGGAGCAGGGGCCCGGCAATGGCGTGTGACTTGCACCAGCTGTCCATCGACCTGAAGCACAACTTGGCCCAAGCCTTGCCTGCTTTTAGGTCTGAGGCACGAGTCGGCTCACGCGCAATTTTCATTAACGGAGCTGCAAGGAGCGATGCGACCACAACTCGGAGCGCATACGCCAAGTCAACGAGACCTTGGCGATTGTCTTGGATCATGTGGATGATGCCAGCGGCCAAGTCCCCTTGATGGCCAATGCTGGGAGTTCAGAGTCCCTCGCAGTACATGTGCCGACAGACATGTCCAGACACGCTGAGATGGACATCAGCATCATGAAGAGCGACGTCGACTTCAAAGATCCAGAAGCTTCGGCAGCAAGAGATGCGGGGCCGAGCCCCAGCAACGCCGCAGCACGCTGAGCTTTAAGAACTCAGGTCCTCGCCGCCCGACAGGTGCGGCCCAAGACCTCGAAGTCCGATATCATTCGGGGAAGGCCCACGGCCCGGTAAAAAAAGGACGAATGACACTGAGTCTTGACGCTCTTCAGGTGGCTGATCCCCGTGGCCCACAATGAGCAGAGCATGTGGCTCGACTTGGATCGCCAAGCCAAGCTCAACGAAGCCAAGGCCAAGACCACGCCCCTTGCGGCCTCCTTTAGGCGCTTCCTTGTGGACTCTGCTGGGTGACAGGGCGACCTCGGCTCGGCCAAGATCCACGCTTTGACCCCCCACGTCCCCCAGGTCAAGGTCAAGGACATGCGGGCCTTCCTCTGAAAGCCTCCTCTAAAAGAGTGCAAAAAAACGCGGAGGAGCCAGCTTTCCGCGACAGTATAGAGCCTTGGCACTGCCGAGATTCGCGCGAGATTGCACGCATGGCGCTGTCTGTTGCCGGGTTGCCAAGGACCAGCCACCGCCTCCGCCCATGCCTGCACGTGTTCAGCCTCTCAAGGACGTGAAGTTGTCGCAGGACGGAAGTGCCCCTGAAAGGAATCGCGCTTCTTAGAGATCCCTTAAGCGCAGGTTGAGCAAGACCGGGCGAGGCTGAACAACCAGATCGCAAAGGCGCAAGATTTCGCTCCCAGCCTTTGCTCAGCACAGCAGCTCCGCAGGCGTTGCGGAAGCTCCATCGCTTCGAGTGAGGCGTAGATGAGCCCCCGCAGCACAACACAGCCCAAAGACTGCAGGGACTCATGGCTCTTATATAGTAATTATTAGTAATTTATGCTCCGATAGCAGTGAGCTCTGTCTGCGGGAGTTTGCAACGAGCTGCAGGAATTCAGCCAGACCCACTGTGAGCTATAAGTCCAAACCTCTTTCAGGCGCATGCTAGAGGCGTAAAGTTAGATCCCGGTTTCACACTGCACGTGTGCGTCATGTGAAGGTCAATTAAGGCAAGTGTTGTTACCTTCTGCTTTAAGGCAGATCGGTCAGAAGGCTTGCTTCGCCCCTCGAAAAAACCGTATTTGGGGAAGAGACGTCCTCAAGCGCCTACTGCGCCTACGCCTAAGGCCTTAGATCATTCACTCTCAGGTGATGGTGCCCTGTCAGCACAAGGGCTGTCCCCAGACCTTTACGACCAAACCTGCCGGGGGCCTACAGTTGCATGTGACGGAGGAGTCCTTCATTTCGATTGAGATTGAGGCCATGAGACTCCATTACCGGGTGGCGCACCTGAATCTCAAGGAGTACCTCTGCAGGACGCCCCGGCCCGTGGCCCCCACCCCTTTCGCCCTGGCCTTGTCCGGGTCTGCGCTCTTGCCTTCAGAGCTTCGAAGGCACTGCGGGGAGGTCTTCGCATACAAGCGCGTGCTGCGGAACCACTGCGAGAAGGCCTCGCGAGCTAGCGAGTGGCTGAGCGTGCTATCGGCTGCGGGCTCTGAGGTGCATAAGATTTTGCCGACAGAGGAGGAGCTGAAGCCTTGCAAGGATGAGCAGGACCTGCGTGTGTCCGTGAGCATCGTCGACTGCTCCGGCTACTCTGCCACTGACTCCTTCCGCTACCTGTGCTGCTACTGCTGCTCCGAAATACTACTGCTGCTCCTTCTGCTGCTGCTGCTGCTCGCCAGCACAACTGTGACGACGGCGAATGGCTCGACCTCGACCACCACTGCCACTGCAACTGAGCACGATGCCTGCTACCAGACTACCGCTACTGCTGCTACCACCACAAGATTTTATTGCACTTGGCGTGAAGATGCTTGGGTTCCTTGCGGGAAATCACGAACAACCCGATCTCGTCCCTCACTTCTTAGACCGGTCGTCACCATGTCTCGCGCTGTAAAAGGTCCCAGAAAACATTACACTGATCGCTCGGCACTTCCCGCAGGAGCGTGCCAAGTACGCTCGGGTGGAGCCGCTTGCCTTCAACGTGCCTTCACCGGCCTAATGCAGGGTTTAGGCTACAGTACGTAGGTTTGGGGCACAGGGTTCTTGTGGCTCCCTCCCTCAAATCGCAGGATACCACACAATATGTATATATATATATATACACACATACATACACATATTACTACATATACATGTATGTACACATACATACACAGACATAGATGTTCACAGAGAGAGAGAGAGAGAGGTTTAGGGGGCACCCCCTGTCCCCAAACGTCTCGCAAGCAAGCAAGCAAGATAGAGACTTAACTCGTCTCCTGCGCTCAATGAAAGAAAAAAGAGAGATAATAAGTGTAGACACGTGCGTGCGGACGTAGGAAGGCTCATCAAATTAGGTCAAGAGACACCCAGACAGCGCTTTTCACAGGCCTCCGCCGAAGAAGGCTCCGCGTCCAGAGCTGCGACCTACAATCGCCCAAGCCGAGTTTTAGTCTGGTTTACTGTGCAGGTTGCTTCCGTTGAGCTTGGTGTGTCATTTCGTGGTTCAGGGTGTGGGCTTGAGAGCCCTTGCGCACTGCTGGGTCAGCCAGTATGGTGTTTGAGCGGTGGACCGCCCATGAAAGAAGCCAAAGGCTTTTGCTGTCGCCATTTTCTGCCAGCTGGTACCCAAAGACGAGGAAGGCTCGACACGAGGCAACAAATGCACCGGAGGTCCTCTGCCTTTCAGAGCAATCTCTGTTGAAACACGCTCCTGCCGACATTTCCATCAGCTGCCAAAATGTTCTGGGAAATGCATGATCGCAGCCGAAAGATCACATGTTTCACGTAAGACACGAACCCAGCAACGGAAACCCCGCGGCCCCAAGCAGAAATGCCTTGAGCTCGTAGGCATAGACCACCGTGTACAGCCATCGTATGCTTCTTTTGCAGCCCGGAGCTTACCTAAAGCCCTGGGCTTCCACAGCAGCTTTGAAAGTAAAACCCCCCCCTCCCCCTTGACCCCCACGATCCCCATGCCATGGTCTTCCGATCCTCTTCATGGGCCCTGCGGCCTTTTGTCCAAGTTGATTGTCTACATGTTCGCATGTTGCACGGGCGAGTTTGCTGAGGAACCTGCTGGGAAAGAAGGCCCAGGGGAAGTAGAGAACGGTGAGTCACGGTCACAGAGACTCGCATAGGAGAGTGCGCCCAAGCCGCCAAAGCGCAGCAGCACACCCCGCAGGCAAATCAGAGGGCAGAGAGGGCTAGAAGTGAACCAGTCTCGCTCTCGTGCGAGGGATGGCGCTCCTTCCGGATTTCGCATCATCGTGCCGGAGTATTGCCGGCCCGGCCAGGTCATTTGTGTCCAGGCCCGGGTTGGCCACGATGGAGTCCGGAGCTCTTTCAAGATGTCGCATGCCGGCAGGGCCCAGATGGACAGCAAGTGGAGGTGACAGTGCCGATGGGGGTGGGCCCCGGACAGCCCATGTGGGTGCAGGCCAGACGGAGCCACATTGGGCCAGGCCAAGTCCCATGGATTCGCAGGTCCAGCCACGTGCCAGTGCCAGCACGGCAGCTAGCACGGCCCAGAGCAGCGAGGACAGGGAAGGTCGAAGTTTTAGGGGATGAGCATCAGAACATCAAGACGTAGATTCCAGTATCTGCAGCTCTCTCAACCCAGGCCACACCCTTAAAGCCGCCGCTTACACTCTCTACCATCGCTGCTCAGCAGACTGCGTGCTACCTTGCACAGGGCCTGGAGGCCCTGGGGGAAGTTGCTGCTCGTTCATCTTGCAGTTAGCTTGCGACTTCCCTGCGAGCTTCCGTTCTTAATTCACATGCCCCAGCTCTTCACTGCTTGCTCGTTTCAAAGCCGGGGCTCGAGCCCACGGACGTCTCGGTACTGAGCCACAGGCGTTTTGCCGTGAGGCTAGACAGACCGCCAGGACTGTGTCCTGCTACAGTTACCGCCTCGTGTCCTAGGCTTGTAGGGCATGCAAACCACTGCATTAGTCGTTATTGCAGTAGCCAGTTAACAGCAGTGCAGCATGAAGGTTCGTGTTCTGTGGTCGTTTGTGTTGGGCCAGAATTCAGAACGGCTCCAAGTCATTTGAACTGGAGATCTCCATCTTCGGATAGAGTGGCTCCATTGCTGTTATGATCACTGTTCCTGTTACTGTTACTGTTATTGTCTTACTGTTATTGTCACGTGTACTATTATATTTACCGCGGTTATTCATACTACTATGATGTACTATGATGATGAACATGAGGATGACTGCCATTATTGCTATTGCAATTAGTACCATGTGTGTTATTAGGATTACTGTTACTGTTATCACTGTTGTAACTGTAGTTATTGCTGCTACTACTACTACTACCACTACTACGACGACGACGACGACGACGACGACGACTACTACTACTACTACTATTCTAGGTTTCATTTCCAACAGTATATCCAACACGATTACCGTTATCTTTTGCCGTCATGAATGCTGTATTGCTGTTACTCTGGACAACGCATGCCGCCAACACTACTGCGACCACGACCCTGCCCCTGGCACCGTCTCTCTGTCTCTCTCTCTCTCGCCGCCAACCCTCCCCACCAAGAAAGCAACATCCGTGCTGCGACGTTGGCTGGACAGTAAACCTGATCCCTGTTTGACTTTTGTTTGTCCCTACCGAAAATAGGTAATCTTGAGTATACTCATTTCAAGTCTTGTTCATCCTTATGACCTTCACTGATCCCTGTTTGATGTTTGGATCCCTCAGCCTCAGTCGGAACCAAAGTGAGAGAAGTCAAAGACAGTCTGGACAGGAAGAAGCAGCACTGCGGCCGCAAGCAGCAGAGAGAAGCGCCAGACGTCTCCGAAGCACCGGGGCTCCATCCGAGGATGCCATGGTGCGAGTCCTCGAGCAGGATGCCCACAGCGCCTGCGAGTTTGCTCAGCGCAGGCGCCCACGGCTGAGCTAAGCCGGAGCTTGTCGCAATGGTGTCTTAGTTCTATCAATAACCAGGCTTTTGGATGAGATGCAGATGCAGATGGCCTTGTGGGCAACGGCCTTCCAATCCTTGCTGTGTAGGCCGAGCCCGAGCCACTCTGTGCAGCTCCAAGGCTTCTGCCGAGGCTGCTGGCGAAGGCGGAGCAGCGAAGCGTTGAGTCCTTGCGCGTTGACACGGTGAGATGGTCAGGTGCTTCAGAGAGCGATCAGCTTCAAGTGGCAGCCTCTCAGCCCGAGCTCTCTCAGACACAGGCGAGCCCACAGACTCGAAGGACCCAAACACCCACGCATTCGCCTCAGGCGACACTCCTTGCGGCAGCTGAGGCAAGGGCGTGCACTTTGGGGTCACGCACCGGTGACGGCTAGTGTGTAAGCATATTGCCGAAGGAGGGCAATGCAGCCCAGCTCCTCGTGGCACTGGCTGAGGCCAAGCCGTGAGCGTTCTTTCAGTTGGCTGTGCAATAGAAGACAATCGCAAGGTGGCAACAGCACACACTCGGATTCAGAAACTGCGGTTCAGAAGCTTTTCGGCACCGAGTCAGAAACTAGCGCGAAAGGGCGACTCAGAACCTATTCTGCCCTGCCCGGATTCAGAAATTCTTCTTCCCAATTGAACTATGTTGCACCTGATTCAGACAACTCTCTCGATTCAGAAACAGAAAGAACTGCCGAACATCCAACGCAGGATGCAGATGGCAGAGGGAGGTACAAAGATGGCAGCAACGATTGTCAATAGCCTTTGTTTTCCTTTTTTGACACACTCAGGACGGACAAAGATGGCATGAATCGATGTTATGCTCCCCTTTCTCGCCTAGTAAACGACAGA